TGGTTGGAGTTCAAAGACTTTGTTTCTAGCCATCAATGAGTAAAATGTTGTAGTGGCATGATCATATTATAATCAAATAAATTCGGGAGTGAAATTTATAGGATCCTTATTTCTATAATTATAATTTGTGAAATGGAAGTCTTCTTTTGGGCTTGAATCGAGACTAGATTGTGTGCATTGAGATTAGTTGGGTGCTCTAGAAAGATTAGTCGGGTGTTCTAAGAGACCCAAATACCTCTTAACAAAAAACAAAAAATAAATTACTAAAATACTAGTCTCAACATATAATAAATAAATGTTGCTTTTACATGCCTTACATAGCCATAACCTATGGTCTAATGATATATAATTTTTTGACTTTCATAACAGGTCCAATGCAAGGGTAGGCAGAAATAATGATTCATGGCACGATCAGAAATAACAGCAGTAACGGGGGCAGGACCGGCGGTGGAAGAGAACGGGACCGGCAGCTGCACCAGAACTTAGAAGCTAAGACATTGTGCATCGGGGACTGGTTTGCAGTACCTTGCACAAGTCCGGCAAGAACACTCCTGTAAAGGGCATAAACCTTGTTAGACTCCAAGTAGTATGTTGATATGTAAAACAATGTTAGTAGATACTTGTATGTTAAATGACTTCTACTTGTTTCCCACTATATGGGGAAAGAAGAGTTGATGAAATTTCCAATTTACTAAGGTGAAGGGGTGGTATCAAGTTTTAGGTGTTACGTCATAACCATTTGAGGTGGGATCTTGCTGCCTGCATGAGTCCTTAAATTGTGCACGTATTTTAGATGGGTGTAATTCCTTTTTCCCTCTTTCTTTATAAGCCTATGGTTAGGCTGCAACACAAACTGCAGATGCATACAGCCACCCGCAAACCATGTGTAACATTAGATTCGGAGTTCGGACTTGCATTCTTAAGATAGTACACCAGAGTTTTGTAGGATTTGGATTGGGTTTGAATAATAAGATTCAAATCTCATTTCAATCCGATTAGTTCTTGGGCTAGGCTCTCAAATTTTCGGAAACCCCAATTAATGGATTCGGATTTAGCTTGAATTGAAAACAAATTTCAGCCCAATATACGTAATGGTATAATCACATTTGAATTGAATTTGTATTCAAGCCAAAAGTTGAATCTGAATTGAACTTGGATTTTTGCTTGAGTTGCATAATGTGAGTGCACTTGTAGTACAACAACGTAAGCATATATAGTTCTTGGGCTGAAGGATTCGGTTCAAGTCTGGTTCAACTTGAACTCAAATTGAGAGTTTTGGGACTTTTGAGTTGTCCTGCATTGATAAGAATGAGAAGAGACTTAAACAAATGCAAAAAGCCTTTTAATTTTTTTGATTTCTGGTCAAAGAACCCATCCTTCATTCCCATTGTTTCAAGAGTTTGGCAGCAACAATATAGGGGTTTTTTGTTGTTTCAAATATGCAAAAAGCTTAAAGATCTGAAGACTGAGTTGAGAGAATTGAATAAGAAGGAATGCAGTGACATTTTAGTCAAAGTTATTGCAGCAAGTCATCAGCTTGATGAAATTCAAAATTTTTTTGATCGAAATCCTTTGGATCAGAGCTTGAGGGGATTGGAAATGGAGAAATTGTTGAACTATATCAGGTAAAGAGAAGCTGAAGAGAGTTTTGCTAGACAAAAGTCTTGTGTTCAGTGGCTCAACTTGGGGGACCTTAACACAAGTTTCTTCTATAAATCACTGAATAGAAAGAATGCAATGAGGAGAATCATTTCCATTCAGAGTGAAGATGGTGTTAAGATCACAGACCTTGCTGAAATTAAGACAGAGACTATAGAGTATTTTAAGAATCATCTTGGCACAATTCCTCCTATCCAACCTGCTGTCCAAATGCAATGGATTGGACATTACATTAAGAATAGGGTTTCTGGAGAGATGGCTGATCAAATTGGGTAGGCAGTTACAAGAGAAGAGATTAAAAAAGCCATGTTTTCAATTAAAGATGGAAAAGCTCTAGGCCAAGATGGCTACACATCATCTTTTTTCAAAAAGTCATGGAGTATTGTTGGTGAAGAGGTTACTGATGCCATTCTTGCTTTCTTCAGAGATGGTAGAATATTAAGAGAGCTCAACTCCACCATAATTGCCCTCATTTCAAGAGTTCCCAACCCAACCACACTTATTGACTATAGGACAATATCTTGTTGTAACACACTTTACAAATGTTTTTCAAGAATTATTGCTAGTAGGATACTACTTGCATTGCCGCAGTTAATTGACAAATCTCAAACTGCTTTTATCAAGGGGAGAAGAATATCTGATAATATTCTGCTGTCACAAGAGCTTTTGAGGAATTATCACCTTAGGAGGGGGAGTCCCAGATATGCTGTGAAGATCGACTTGATGAAAGCCTATGATAGTGTGAGATGAGACTTTGTTTTGAAAGTGATGAACAAAATGGGATTTCCGCGACAAATCATTCAATGGGAGGAGGCTTGTATTACTACTCCAATATTTTCTATAAGCATTAATGGTGAACTGAATGGATATTTTCAGGGAAGGAGAAGCCTTAGACAAGAGGATCCCATGTCCCCATATCGCTTTGTTCTTGTCATAGAAGCTTTTAATAGTTTAATGAAAGCTGCCATTCAAACTAGGAGATTCCAATTCCATTAGAGATGCAAAAAGGAAGGGATTTCACATTTGTGCTTTGTTGATAATATCATGGTTTTTAGCAAAGGTACAATTGAATCAACGAAAGCTATTAAGGATGTACTTCAAATTTTTGAGGAGTTTTTAGGGTTGAAACCTAATGAAAACAAGTGTGAATTTTTTTTTTCTAGGTTGAAAATGAAACCAAAAAGAGTATTCTACAATGTTTGGGGTTTGATGAAGGAATGCTGCCAGTTAGGTACCTTGGAGTACCTCTTATCACCACAAGAATAAGGGTCACGATTGTCATGGTTTAATTGAACAAATCACCTATAAGATCAGAGATTGGACTTGCAAGTTTCTATCCTATGCAGGGAGACTCCAACTGATTAATTCAGTATTTTTACCATTCAGGTCTACTGGGCATACATATTGATTCTTCCAAAGGGTGTGGTTGAATCTATAGAACAGTTAATGAAAAGATTTTTATGGTCTGGAAGTGATAGCAGAGCCAGCGAGGCAAATGTGGCTCGATCTACTATGGGCCTCCCAAAGAAAGAAGGGGGTCTTGGAGTTAAAATCCTAGAAACTTGGAACAAAGCAGCTATGACAAGACATTTATGACGTGTTATTAAACCACAAGGGATCTCTATGTGGGCCTCTTGGGTTGAATCCTACCTATTGAAGGGAAAAAGCTTTTGGCGTATTAGGATCCCTCAAAACTCATCTTGGTCTTGGAGGAAAATTCTTCAATTAAGGAACCAATGTTTACCCCCTAATTAGATATAAGATTGAAGATGGCCGATCCACTTTCTTATGGTTGGATCCATGGCATCCAAGTGGTCCTATTTATCAGAGTAGAGGTGAGGCGATCATTAGTGGCTCTGGATTGGACAAAGAAGCTCGTGTTTGCAGTATTGTCAACAACTCACAATGGGTGTGGCCTGATATTGCAAATGAGGAACTTCTAGATGTGCAAAGAGGGATTCCTCCTAGCTGGAAACTTGATTCGAACTTGAAAGATAATGTGCTATGGCTACCCAATCCAAATTCTCACCTTTTTTCCACTTAGTCTGCATGGGATTGTTTTAGAGTAAAGGGGAATCATCGTGTCTGGGCCAAGATTGTTTGGTTTCTTGGTGCAACTTTATTCTGTGGCTTGTTGTGCAACAAAGATTACCAACGCAAGATAAGCTTTTGGATTATGGTATCCTACGGAGGGCCTCTTGTGTTTTTTGTCATAGTGATGTGGAATCTCATAATCATTTATTTTTTGCTTGCTCTTTTACTAGTAGATTATGGATGTCACTACAAATTAAGTGTAATGTACAATGGCCTTGTATTGCGTGGAAATATTTTGTCCAATGGTTTGCAAGGAATGTGATGGGAAGAAAGCTGAGTAGTGTGATTGGGAGATTGATGTTGTTCACTTTTGTTTATAAGCTTTGGGTGGAGAGAAACCTAAGAACTTTTAGAAACTCTTTTAAGAATGTAACTACTATTTACAAAGACATTGTTGACTGCATTAGACAGAAGCTTAATTTGCACAGAGGGGTGGGAAAAACCTCCTAATTTATGGCTCCAAAGACAATGGTCCCTCCCAGAGTCGATTTTTGAACCGCCTTAAAGTTGATGGATTGCTGATCTAATGTGTGCTTGAATTTGGTTCCTTATATTTGGGTTATGCTGGTTCTGTATTTGCCTCCGTCACTGTTGCTGCAGGTGAGGTTCACTGTGTTTGGTGGCTGCCCTCTTGCTTGGACTACCTTTTCAATGGAAGCAGTTTCTAGTCTTTGGGAGTTTGTGTACTCTCTGTTTTCTTCTGGTGTCATGCTCTGTTTGGAGTTTGGCATTATGGGTGCGGGGTGCATTGTCTTTATGGTGGTTACATTGCTGGTTGGTGCTTCATCTTGGTGTTGTTGTTTGCTTCATCTTGATGCCCTGTATTTCTTTTTGTTTCTTTTGGATTTTGTTTTTTACTATGTATTCTTTTCCTATGGGGATGGGGGATCTTCTTTTTCTTGTTTTAAGAAGATCAACCATCCCTTTTGATTACACCTGTGTACATGTTCCCTTTTTCGCTTTTATGAAATTATCTTACTTACCCAAAAAAAAAAAAAAAGAGTTGGTCTCTAAACCAATCTAACCTATCCGAGTTGACTCTTATTTTCTTCATATTACTCCTTATGATTTGATTATAACTATTACTTAATAAATCTTGAAATTATCTTGTAATGACTAACAGAGATGAAAATGAGCGGATGAAAAATGAAAATAAATTGTTGTATGCTTTAAAAAAAAATAATAATCAGCTTCACCCAAAGCCAAATTATGGTAAAGATCAATAAAGTTGGAGCAGTTGTGATAACATGCTGGAGAGCAAATCTGGGAGGTGCAATGAGGCTCAGGTAGTGTATCTGACGAAATTCCAACAGATTTCCTTTGAACCCCACATGAGAAATCACAGAAAATTAAAGAATAGGCATAAGAGGCTTCTCCTTAATTCTAGATAATTTGCTATAGTATATGGAGTAACAAATGTTCGATGTTTTTATCATCTTCCGTCCACTACGATGTATCTTTTTTGAATTAATATCAATAGCACACCGTTTTTTATCAAAAAAAAATACATATTAATCTAGTAATGTATAATAGAGGGTTTGTTAGAACAAAAGGGACCCAGTTTGTTCTAAATGGTTCGCCTTTCCTTTTCAATGGGTTCAACTCATACTGGATGATGAATGTTGCAACTAACCCAAGCGACAGGTTCAAAGTCTCTGAAGTGTTCCGAGATGCTGCTGTTGCTGGACTTTCTGTCTGTCGGACTTGGGCTTTTGCGGATGGAGGTGACAAAGCACTGCAAATATCACCTGGCACTTAGGATGAACGAGTTTTTCAGGTAAAAAATGAATATATCTAATCATGTCACTAAATAATGCAATTTACTGTCCCTAATATAGTTATTCATATTACTATTTTTGTGTAAATATTAATATTCTTACTACTGACATGAATTTTTAATGGTTTAGGCACTGGATTTTGTGATTTCGGAAGCAAGAAAACGTGGGATTCACTTAATGTTGAGTTTCGTGAACAATAACAATGACTTTGGAGGGCGAACACAGTATGTGCAGTGGGCTAGAAATGCAGGAGCACAGATTAATAGTAATGATGATTTCTACACAAATCCAGTGCTCAAAGGGTATTACAAGAATCGTGTCAAGGTGGAAACTAAATTTTCATGAAATAGATTAGGGTTCATGTGTGTAGGCGCTTTGCAAGGAAAAGTTAGTTGTAATCATCATAATTTTCAAAGAATTTTATTAATTGCAGAGAGTCATAACAAGATTCAACACCATAACTGGAATTGCTTATCGAGATGACCCGACAATCATGGCGTCGGGACTCATGAACGAGCCTCGTTGCCAAGTCGACTACTCTGGAAGAACAATAACTGTGAGCCTCATCAACATATACTTTTACAAGTGAGATCGCCTCTAATAATTTTTATTTTATTTTTTTCAATTTCATTCAAAGGTAAATCACCTATTATATATGCTTGGGGACCCACTACACTAATAAATAGTTGCCCTTCGTGAATTAATAGTGAGTGGCTTATCATTGAGTAAATTAATGAAGAGAAATGTATGGATTGTCCTTTCATAACTCCTAAAAGTATGGTTTTGAAGCATAGTTTTGATGCATAGCTATCACTGCAATTGTTGTATAAATTTTACTAATTATATTTGATATTGCAGGCCTGGGTTCAAGAGATGGCAACTTATGTAAAAGCTTTAGATGGCAAGCATTTGCTGGAAATAGGCATGGAAGGATTCTATGGGGATTCGCTGCTCTAAAAGAAGCAAACAAATCCTGGTTACCAAGTTGGGACAGATTTCATTAGTAACAATCTCATCAGGGAGATTGATTTTACCACCATTCATGCATATCCTGACATATGGTAAACCACCCATATCCTTACTAATTTCCAAACTTTTAGAATCAATCTTAATTTTATTAAATTCATAACTTAACCTTATTTAATTGTAACTGACCTCTCGATCCCAAATGAGTTGTATCTTGCCCCGAGTTGCTTGTAATGTGATGGCTCCTTTGATATCGTAGTCTTTGCTTTACTACCATTCACGAAACCAAGTATATCAATACTTCACATAGCTCAAACGATTAAATTGTAACCAAGTTATCTTAATACTGAGCTTGAACATTACTATCTATATAATAAGGGGCATTTATTAGTGGAACCTTTCTTCCTTTTCACCACCATCGCTTCAACCCCTTCCTTCTCTCCTCCATCATGTGTTCGACGAAATTTCTGAAAGATCACCAGAGTTATTTCTATCTCAAACCACAATGCCCACCGAAACCTCACAACCACCACCATAGACCCACCAACTGCCATGCAGCCAGCAATGCTTTTAGTCACGGGATTTAATTAATTTTTTTTGTATGACAGGTTGTCTGGTAAAATGATGATGCGCAAATGGAATTTATGAAAAGATGGATGTCAAATCATTGGCAAGACTCGAGGACGATACTAAAGAAACCATTGGTAATCGCAGAATTCGGAAAGTCCAGCAAAGTTCCAGGATACAGTTTAAACAGAAGGGACTGGCACATGAGTTCTATAAATACAAACATCTACAACTTGGCAAGAAGTGGAGGAACCGTTGGTGGGGCCTTGGTTTGGCAGCTGATGGCAAAAGGGATGGATTCTTACGATGATGGGTACCAGATTATCTTATCAGAAAATCCTTCTACTGATGGAGTCATTTATAGACAATGTCGTGCAATGGCAGCTTTATCTCATATTAATGGTTTCAGCCATTGGCCACGCAATGCAAAGCATGGTCATCCATATGGTCGACGTCCCGTAAACAAGTCCGTTCCTTGATGGACTTGGGATGACATTATAGTTCTTGGGCAATAAATCTATTAGCATCTATTATGGTTATGTGTGCCAGGAGTAGTATTATCTATTGTCCCTCGAAATTTGAATTTTTGTAGTGAAATGTACAACTTTACATTACAATTATCATCGCACTAGGAAGTTGAAATTCAGTTTTAGTTGAAAAAATATTCATCACGGTGATACTATGTCAGTATTAATGACATGATATTACCAACAATAATGTGTAAACAAATAGAAAGACGAACCCCACACAAAGTCAATAATTACCGGTCTCTGTAAATTAATAACTACTCGTTCTTCTTCCATATAAGTCAATAACTATTCATGTGGGATTCACTTTATTCATTTAGGATTTTATTATTAGTTAGTAATATCATATCATCAATGCTGACACAGAATTACCATTGCATTGAATATTTTCTCCAGCTTCAGAGGGTAGCTAGTAAACTATGGGCGTAGTCGGTAAATGATTTTTGGGTGGATACATTAATATGTTTGTTTTATTTTTCTTTCAATTAATAAAATCAAGATAATACATTTATATTTATTTACATCATATTTTTATAATCAAAAGTTTATCCAACAAATCGGTTTAGATAGTATATTTATGCCAAAAAATTTCATAAAATTTCACGAAAACTACGTCAATCTGATTCGTAGCTTCAATAAATTCACCAAAGTCAACATCAATTTGAAGATCAAGAATAACACTGATCATGCATTTGTCTTCAACAAATCTATCAAAGTCATTATCAAATCAAAGAACCAGAACCACGCTGGTCTAGCCCTCTTCTTCATCAAATCCATTAAAGCCACCACCAAATTAAAAATCGAAAAACATGGATCCGACCCTTGTCATCATCAAATTCATTGAGAATCAGAGGATTGTACAGGTGAAAAGCATGCTGAAAAGAGTCAACATCACTTTCTTAAATCATGTTAAATTATCAAATAATTATAATTTTAACATTACTTTTGTGTTATTTTAAACACAAAATTTGTCGTTACACCCACCTTGACACCATAAAGGTTTTATAAACTATATCAACAATGATATAATCTTCTGCTTTTGTATTTGCATTTTTGTCTTCTTTTTATAGTAAAATTAAGTTGTACAAGTTATTCTAGTGTCAATGTTGATTCCTTGATTCTTGGTAATGATCCTTAAGATCGAAGATGAACTTTCTATTTTGTTGTTATTGTACTTCACTGTTTGTGAAAATTTTGGACAGTGAACTAAAAGTTTCATTCTATTAAAGTTCACTGTTTGTGATTTTTTTTTTGAATTAAAAGTTTCATTCTATTAAAGCTTATTGTTTATGTTATTCAATATTTTTTGAGTTCACTGCTTGTGAAAATTGTTTTAAGTGTAAGGGATATCCTGCTAGAATGGTGCAACGAAAGGTTAAAGATTTTTCTTGTTACTTCTAAGTAGTTGTGATGCATATTTTGAGACACAAATACTTTTTTGATAGTTTGTGTAATTTTAGTTCACTGTCCAATTTATTTTTGTGTTCATTGTTTTAAGTTCATTGTTTATATTTTTTTCAATATTTTTAAGTTCATATTTTTCGAAAAAAATATTTTTTGATTTCATTGTTTTTGATATATTTTTCTTAATTAAAATGAAAAGTCTTACCTAATTTATTAAAATCTAATCAATTTTATTAATTAAGCACTATTTTTTATATTCACAATTGTTAGTTTACTATTTCTTCACTGTCTTTAAATTCATTGTCTTGGGTTCATTATTTTTTTGTTCATTGTTTTTGAGTGTGTGTGTGGGGATAACGAAAGATAAAAGAGAGAGAAAACAATTAAAGAATGAAAGAAATGAATTTTGGATAGTAAACTAGAAGTTTCATTCTATTGAAATTTACAGTTTATGAAAATTTTGGACAATGAACTAAGAGTTTTATTATATTAAGGTGCATTGTTTGTGAAAATTTTTTGAACTAAAAGTTTGATTCCATTAAAATTCATTGTTTTTGGAGTTGACTTTTTCTATTTTTTTCAATATTTTTTGACTTCGCTGTTTTTGATATATATTTATTAATTAAATTTTTAATATTTTTGTACTTCACTACTTGTGAAAATGTTGGACAGTGAAGTAGGAGTTTTATTTTATTAAAATTTCCTATTTGTGAAAATTTTGGACAATGGACTAAGACTTCATAGAGTTCCTAGTTCCTTGTTTGTGATTTTTTTTTAATATTTTTTGAGTTCACTATTTTTAAATATATTATATTTTTGCAGTTCACTATTTGTAAAAATTTTGGACAACGAACCAATAGTTTCATTCTATTAAAATTCACTATTTGTGAAAATTTTGGACAGTAAAATAGGAGTTTCATTATATTAAAATTCAGTGTTAAAAAAATTTTGAACTAGAAATTTCATTTTATTAAAATTCATTATTTTGGGGGTTCACTGTTATGTTTTTTCTAATATTTTTTGAATTAATTGTTTTTGATATATATTTCTTAATTCAAGTTTTTAATATTTTTACAGTTTACTATTTTGTGAAAATTTTGGACAATGGTGGGTAGGTGGTGGTGGTGGTTGACAACGGTGATGATGGTTGTTATGGGGCAGTGGTGGTGTTGGGTGGCGGTGGGTGCGAGGGTTTTAGGTGATGATGGTTGGCGGCATTAGCTATAGATGGTGGCGGCGAGTAATGGTGGTGGTGGTGGTGGGGGGCGGCGACTGGTGGTAGTGGTGGGCAATAATGGGTAATAGCGATGATGGTGCATGGTGGTGGAGGTAATGTTGAACGGTGACGCATAATGGTGGGTGGTGGTGGTGGTGGGTTTTGGGTGGTGGTTGTTAGCAACGATGTTGGCGATAGTGGCCTGTGGTGGGTGGTGGCGGGTAGTGGTAATGGGTGGTGGTGGTAGTGAGAGGTGTCGAATGGTAGTTGTAATAAATATAAGAATAATATATTTGTGGAGTTTTTTAAATGAGCAATACTATTGAGATCTAATTTACTGACCTAATTCACTATGACATTTGTAGTGATGATGAGTGATGGTGTTGGTAATGGTAGTAGACAACGGGTGGTGGGTGGGTTTTGGGTGGTGGTTGTTGGCAACAATGTTGGCAATAGTGGCCTGTGGTGGGCACTGGTAATGGGTGGTGGTGGTGGTAGTGGGAGGTGTCGAATGGTTGTTATAATAAATATAAGAATGATATACTTGTAGAGTTTTTTTAAATGAGCAATACTATTGAGACCTAATTTTCTATGACATTTGGATTAACTGTGAGCTCCATCAAACATTAGAACTTAGTGTTAATCCAATGATTTCAATGAAATCACGTCATTAAATTAGTAAATTATGTCAGATTTTTAGGTCCAAATAATATTTTTCTTTTTAAATAACCTCTTTCATTAAGGGTATTTTTGTTAGTGGTTAATTTTATAGACTTTTAACCTTAAAAATATTGAGGTTGGACCTAAAGCTAAAAAAGTCCATAAATTTGTATCTCTCACCAAATCTCCCCCATTTTTTCCGGTGTAAATTTGTTATTAAATAAATATATTTAATAACAAATTTGGTAAACACATCTTTACTCTTACTCTTCCTATAAATTTTTATTATTATTGCATGTATTTAACATTTGTCACATGCTAAAATAGAAATCTTGGGTTGACATACAACGTATTGCTTCATTTCCAAACGATATGTGCCTATGTCATCAAAACTAGCCACCCACAGTGTTCCAAACGAATTTTGCCTATGTCATCAAAACTAAACACCCACATGCACTGCACCTGTCAAACAACTCTTCGCTGAAGTCACCCAAAGGCATTTTTTTCCTCAGAGAAATGCAAAATTTCCGTAGCATGAAATGGATATGGGTTACATCGTGCATTTAAGTGAGATTCATTATATACAAGTAAATTCATCACTCATTAATGATACATGT